TGTAATACTCTCCACCCCCCTCCCTCCCAGTAATAGTCCCCCCCCCTCCAATCTTCTCCTCACCTCCCCTGTAGCGTGGCCGAGCTCCTATCCGGTCCGCGACCTGGCCGGACTGACAGGAAATGCACACCCAGTGTGCACTTCCTGTCAGTCCGGGCGGGTCGCGGACCGGAGAGGAGCTTGGCCACGCTACAGGGGAGGTGAGGTGAGGCACTGCGGCAGCCGTCTGAGCGCTCTCTATAGAGCGCTCAGGCGGCTGAGGCATTTAAAGGGCCGGCAGCTGCCAGCCCTGCCTAGGTCTTATTTTCGGGGTAGGGCTTATATTGCAGCCCACCCCGATAATCCAGCTAGGGCTTATTTTCGGGGTAGGTCTTATTTTCGGGGAAACACGGTATGTTACAAGACAAAAATAAAGAAAAAAGATGTATGATTTGCAAAGTGCAAAAAAAGAATAAAGTACAAACGTGACTAAGTTAAAATAGGACCATACACTGTAGCCTATTGTAACAGGTTTGATTCTACCTGATACAATGTTGCTAAAAAGTAGCCGATTTAACCACTAGTTGGATCGGATGTTTTGTCAGGTAGATGTGGTAAAAATTTAACGGTATCCTATGCATACAGTTACAAATAAGCACCCTGATGTATGGATATCCAAGTAATAGGAGTGACCCAAAAGCGTCCGAATTTATATCGTTTAATCGTTTAGAGTAAGGAGATGTGTGTTGAAAGAAAAGTGGAAGTGAAGGGATACATGGGGAGAACAAAAATAGCGAGCTCCAATTATCAAACACTTGCTATCGGGAAGGTAATAGTGGTGAGGAAGATGAATGAAAATCCTTTACTAAATAATGCTGCTAGAAGTTGTTGTGAGTCAACTATAGAAGGTTAGTGGGGACCCGCTCAATATCACACGGATGAGTGAGAACTCATTCATATATACAGCATATAGATCCAGGAATCTCAAATCCCATGTCTTCATTGATTGCTCTGGTCTACAGTATACCCAATAAAGTAATTTATTTTCTTTGGGTTTTACAATTTCAAGCAATTCTTTGCTTTATATTAAAACCTCTATTAGGACTGTTTTCGGGCTTGCCTCTTTTGTGCAAGTCCTCCTCAGCCCTTCTTATTAACCCCTTAGGGACACATGACGGAAATATTCCATCATGATTCCCTTTTATTCCAGAAGTTGTGTCCTTAAGGGGTTAATGTCAAGTTACGTATACATATAGGGTATCAGAAGAATAATACAATTTAATATAATGTTTAC